TGAACTCTTTCAAATCTGTTGTAAAGATTCGAGGAGAGTTACTCACTGATCGTGAGCTTTGAATTGGAACCCCCAGCCCATGATTGGACAAGACTAGCTCTTGGTGAACATGGATCTGGTTGAGATGCCTTGAATCCATGGACTTTTGACATCCGCCCCTCAATCTAGTCGCGCTACGCAGAGTATTCGGGGGTCCAAGGGGCGGTGCGCCCCTGGCCAGGGGGTCCGGGGGGGATGGAATACCCCCCGGTGGGGTTCGGGGTAGCGCCCCGAAGCTCCACGATATATACCAGGCTCTGTATTGAATTTCGTCAACTGAACGCATGCCTGAGCTTCAGGTTTTGCTGATGAAACGCATATTTGAGAGTTGCGTTTATTTTGTGGAACGCACCCCTGAGGGTTGCGTTCATTTTGTGGAACGCGCCCCTGAGGGTTGCGTTTAGTCTTCTTCACACAGAGCCTATGTTTGGGCTCATAGACGCGAGACTTGCATTCTGAAACAGAAACGTAGGGCACATGGTTGCGTTTAGGCTCACAAACACGAAGCTCGTGTTGACTTGAGGATCGGCCTTCTCGGAGATGTGCTCGTCGTAAGGATATCCTCCTCCGTCGAACGACGTTCTTCTTAGCCTGCTTCAAGGCCTTTGTCGCCTCCATGGGCATCTTTCGACCCGATACCCATCGTCTTGGCGTGGGTTTGGCTGAAGCTGAGCCCACTCCATCGGGGAAGGGGCTGTCCGAGCAGTCTTCCTTAGGTGGTTCGGCTGCAATTGGAGCAGTTAGAGCTTTAGTCTCTTTGGAGACTTTGTGGATCTTGCGCATAGCCTTGGGGCTAAGGGATCCTGAGGAGATAGCCTCCTCAAACTTGGCTTGATCAAACTCTACCACGAGAGTTTCGACGGTTGTTCCAGTGAGATGAACATCGAATTGTGCCACCACTTCTTCGTCAGAGAAGCTCATCCCCAGCAGAGTCGCCATCTTTTGTTTGTTAGAAAATTTTGTAGTAAAAAGACAATGAAGGAAATTTGATTTGTATTCCTTTAATCTCAGTTACAATTGGATTTCCTGATTACAAAAGAGAAGAGAATGATCTGGATTCTTTCCTTTGTTTAATTCTGGGTTCTTCACGGTGGCGATGAGATGCCTCCCTCGAATGCTCGCATCGAGTTTGCTTCTCGTTGACGATCCGACGTCTTGTTTCACTGGAACATAGTCTTATGAGTTTAAAACTCTATGAAAGAGTTAATTTAACCGAAAGTCGGTTATAAGCCAAGGATGAAGAAGATCTTGTTGCCGATCTCCAAAGCTCCAGAAATGCTCTAAGGATCCTGTTGACTAGCCAAGAAGTTCCAACAGACCGCCCTCTTAAATCACTCCTGAGTGGAGTTGTGATCCCCTCAGATCGTGGGAAACGGGTTTGAACGAGTCAACCGCAAAATCCGCATTCCGGTGTAAATTCTGCGTTCAAACGCAGTGTCTGGAAGCTTGAACGCAGTGTCTGGAACCTGCGTTGGCATCTTGTTGGAAGCTGCGTTTGGCGGCGATTAGAGCTGCGTTTGGCAGCGATTAGAGCTGCGTTTGGCAGCGAATTGAGCTGCGTTTGGCAGCGATTTGAGCTGCGTTAGAGCTGCGTTTGGCAGCGATTTGAACTGCGTTTGGCAGCAGATTGGAGCTGCGTTCAACGTCGGTTGGAGCTGCGTCAGGCAGCGGTTGAAGCTGCGTTCAGCTGCTGATTTGAGCTGCGTTCAGTGGTTGAAGCTGCGTTCAGCTGTTGATTTGAGCTGCGTTCGTGGCTATGAACGCGATGCGTCTTGATGCTAGTGTGCGGTGAGGACTTCCACAGTTTGATTTGAAGAGACCGTCGATTTGTAGTCTCTTTCTGTCGAAGCGTTGCAAAGATCGTCATTTTGTAATATTTGCTTTAGCTCTCTGATATATGAGAGTCGTCAGATTGTAACTTCCATCATCGGTGTTTGATGGTGATCAGCTATCTGCAGTGATTTTTAGACAGCCTACAGGTGACCTTTTGGGAAATAATAGTGTTGAATGATGATGTTCTCTATATTTTAATTTTATAGTCTAGACAGAAGTATGCGTCACCACTCTTCACATATATGTGTCACAAGTTTTTATGACACATGTATATGTCACCACTCTTGACATATATGTGCGGTGAAATTTGTGACACATTCTCACATATGTAGAAAGATGCTCTCCGCACATGCTCTAATCATACTTCTAATATATATCGCGTTCTATTTGTACGATACATAAATGTGTCGCATAGAGACAAAATATATATCATAATTTATAACTTTTGTTACAGTGAGTGATGAGTCAAATTTAAAGCGTGCATAGCACAAAATCACAAAAATGTAAAGTGCAGTTTGCTTTATATACCTAAAAGGACAATAGAACATTAATAACGACTAAGTGAATAATCACTGATCACTTACTATCCTTTTTTGAGCATACCATGGATGATTCACTTAATCTACGCTTCAGATTCAGTCAGTTTGACCTTGACTAGTAAACGTATGATGAGATGCAACCAAATTAACTAGAATAAAAGGATTCTCTACAAACTTATAGAAGATTTTATAAAATATAACGTTGAACGGTTGAACGTATATCGCTTAAATTCTAAACTAATCTAGCCCTTTTCTCTTCCTCTATAATATCAATTATCTCATTTAAAAAAAAACTACCGTATTTGAAGATAGCACCTTACAAATGTATGCGCGTTCTTGTCAGAGCCCAATTTTGCCACACTGACTTAAGTGTGCCAACCTTTGTTATTTTACGCTTAATTATTTTACAACTGGGCTTGTCTGTCTTTGGGCCAGGCCACCTTTTGTATTGTATTTAGGGGAAAATGTGTCCAGACCCTAAAAATGGGAACTTCGTGTGACTAGCCCCATTGTACTTTGTCCCATGTGGAATAGCCCTAAAAAATGAGCTTTAATGTTTTAAGCCCCCTCTACGTCAGCTTTATACTAAAAGCAGAATGTATTTTGGAAAAAAGCCGAAATGCCCTTCTCTTTCTTCCCCGGACGAGTCCTGGTCCCGAACAACAGAAGTCACTTCTCATTAATGCGATATGATGGAAAAATGGAGGGAAATTTCTCCCTTTTTTTACTCTATCATGAGCAATAACTAGTTAGTTCTCCATTACTCCTCCTCAGACCAAAATTCTCTCCATTACTCTCTCAATTACTCTTATTATCCCTTCAAAATGGTTAAAAAGGACATCATCTGCATTGTCTCTTCACGGTATAAAGCGGTATTCTTGAAGATTAATTTTTCAACCACCATCTTGGATCTCAAGTTTGATGTGGCAGAGAGGTTAGATCTTCCATATGAGTCATTAATTTTGGCATATGAAGATGAAACAGTTGGAAGCTTAAAATTTTCCATTGAGAACGATGGTGATCTGACGTATATGGTGGAGCATTGCCACAATCTTGGACTGAAAGAGGTTCACGTGCAAGCTTTTAAAGAAGGAGATGATTCTTCGAATAAACAGGAAAACGAGCAAGTCCGACAATACATGTAGGTTAACTATAAAATCAATTAACTTTAGTTCTAATCGGTTTCTTGTTAGGTCTATGCTAGGTTTAAATGGACTTCAGTTCTAATTCGATCGTATGTTAGTTGTAATCTTGGTTCTGTTAGATCTAATTAGATCGTATCTTATGTTAGTTGTAATCTTTGTAATCTTATCGTTAAGCAGTTCTTTGTTATGCTCCATACTAGAGTTCTAATGTTTTATTTGTCAGTTCTAATCGCTATTTTGTTAGTTCTACTAGATTTATTGCTAGTTCCACTATAGTTCCTATATGCTACAAGTGCTGCAAAGGTTGTTAGTTCTGATCTATATCTTGTTAGTCCTAATGGTTATATTGTTAGTCCTAATTGTTATATTGTTAGTACTAATGGCTATATTGTTAGTTCTAATCTATGTTTTGTTAGTCCTAATGGTTATATTGTTAGTTCTAATGGCTATATTGTTTGTTCTAATAGCTATTATGTCAGTTCTAATCAATGTACTGTTAGCTCTAATGGTTATATTGTTAGTTCTTTCTAGTTCTAATTGATTCTAACAGCAAGCAATTGTCGTTTTTGCTTTTTAGCTTTTGCTATTATCTGTTAATACTTCTACTATTTGTGTAGTTTATGATTAATTTTTTGATGTTCTTAATATTTGTAGCGCTTCCAGCAGTTTGAACTCAAAAAGTGTAGACTATGGCCCGTCAGCGTTGTGGACCACAAGTGTTTCAGATAAGAATCCCAATAACAATCCTTTCGGAGATGATGTCATGACGATTGATGACATGATTAGCAGATCAGAGAGGATTCCTGCTTGGTGGCACACAGCTTTAACCGGTGAGGGAAAACGATTTGAAAGTGCGAAGGAGTTAAGATTGGCCTTGCTACTCCATGGCAAAAAAATTCGAATACGAGTTTGGGAAGAATGAACCGAAGCGTATTTGAGTGTTTTGTCGGTTTAAGGAAGCCAAAAATTATCCGTGGATGTTGTTTGCCTCTCCATCGAAAAATGATAATAGACTTGAAATCAAAAGGTTTGTGGACAATCACAGTTGTGGGCAGCATGGCAATAATACTGGTCAATCTAGAGCCTCTAGGTGATTCATTGCTACCTAATTACAACCCACGTTAAAGGTTCGACCAGATATATGGCCTATTAACGTTCAAAAGGAGTTTCTAAGCTCGTATGGGATTAGGGTCGATTATAGTAAGATTTGGTGGGGGTAAAGAAAGAGCACAAGAGAAATTATATGGTGATGCCCATGAGTCCTACGATCAATTACGATGGTAAATAGAAGATGATATCTAACAAAAGACAAACTAATTTCCTTTATGTGACGTTGATTATACTAATTTTTCAATGTTGGTACTAACGCTTAATCTTCAATTTTCTAGGTATGTAGAAGAGGTCAAGAAGACAAACCCAGGTAGCTATATTCATGTTGAACAATATGAGGGGAGGTTTACAAGGTAAATGGGAGAAAAGAGTAGCATTTGTTCTTTGTAATCATGACCACGGAGCAATCTTCAAAGCTTTAGAAGAATGCTTGAGGAGCAAGTCAATGGGGATGGTGAAGTCATGCCTTGTTGCTGCTACATGGCTCATACATATGCTCAGTAGTCTCCCTCAGACTGGAGTGAAAATGATTGCAAGTCGATGCCTTCTGGATCAATTTACTGAGGTTCTCTGTTCATCTAGGAACTTTGAGGAGAAGATTCTAGCAACCTTGGCTTTGAAAAGCTTCATTGAGGTTCTCTGTTCATCTAGGAACTTTGAGGAGAAGATTCTAGCAACCTTGGCTTTGAAAAGCTTCATCAGTGACCCAGGTAATAGATATGCTGAAATCTATTGTCAAAGTGGTCTCTCATCGACTGTATAGTTAAATGTTGTCCTTTACAAGATTGCAGATGCACTTAAAGAACGCGGGACGTATGCAAAATGTATCTACAAGCCCTTGAGGAAGCTCAAATGATGCTCATTAGTAGTTGCAGATACATTGAAAGCAATTATGAACTTGCCGTCTGTTGATGCAGTGAGTGGAATAACACACATGGAATTTCTTGGTTATAATGACATACCTTCTGTTGCTAAGTCATTTATGTTTCAGACAGAGTTTTGGTCTTGTACTGAGTTATTTGACATAGACTGTACTTCTAATGGAGAGGTCCTATCTTTGGTTCATTCAAAAGGTTGACTTTTTAGTAGCCACTCGGATGGGACTATCAAGGTAAAATTTTCACACCTTACCAGTACCTTGCACAGACTTGAACTAAGATAATATGTTGTACTTCCCATGTAATTATAGGATTTTTAACTAGCGGAATACCAACAGATATAATTTGATAGATAGACTTTGAAGGAGGTGAATATGTTTCAGAAAGAGGAGTTTCCTGTTAATAACCTCTATGTATTTTTGTCTAGGTGTGGGATGCTGGAAGGAGGGGTTTGAGACCAGTTCAGGAAATCGAAGAGGATGTAGCTTTTGCGGATTCACCAGATCCTCACAGGCCCGCAGAGGATGTAGCTTTTGCTGTTGTTCGATTTTTCCAAAGAGGAGGAATTGTGCGTAATGTTGTGCGATGGAGCATACAGAACCTCTTGTAAATAATTTATGTAAAAGTTTGTAAATAATTTATATATCTCTCTACTATTTTGGTGAATGTATTATTTGAATATAATGGGATTTGATATTGGAATATAATTAGATTGTGTTGGATATGAATATAATTTTTGGTTGTTCAATATTTTGTACATGCACCCAAAGTAGATTCTGCCAAAAAAAAAATTACTGTAGCATAGTATCCTAGATGAAAATTCCGTCTAGGATGCTCAAATTCCATCTAGGATGCGTTTTTTAGCAAAAAAATAAAAAAAAAACATCAAATTCCGTCTAGAATGAGTATTCTAGACGGAAATTTTCATCTAGAATACTCATTCTAGACAGAATTTTTTTCCGCCTAGGATAAATTATTCTAGACGAAAATTTCGTCTAGAATAATCCGTCTAGGATGTATTCTAGACGGTTTTGAATTCCGTCTAGGATGTATTCTAGACGGAATTTACGTCTAGAATATTACATCCTAGACGGAAACATACTAGACGTGTATTCTAGACGGAATTCTGGGTATCTTAGACGGAATTTTCCGTCTAGGATACCTCATTATTTAGCAGTGTCTGATAATTTACCCTATCATGTATGGATTTATTTTTATATGAATTCGTGTCTTTCAATGAGTTTGTAAATAATTATTATAGATGGTTAAAATATATTCTATCGAGTCCAATGTTGCTTGAATTCAAGGAGTGAATGACTATGAGCTAAACATTTCAAATGACCCTAAAGTCAAGTTCACAACAAGCTATAGCAAATTAAGCTCGCTCAAACAAGCATGTGAACATCTCCATACAGCCGACTTCGGCTCAGTTCAAACGAGTCGAAAATGAGCCACGCAAAGTCCACCGTTCAATATCATATATTGAGGTTTATTTTGGTCACTTGACTATACTATACACGAACTAACAATGTTAATTTTTAAGATTTTTTTTTACAAAAGTTATTGGAGGTTTTGTGCGAGTTTTGAAGATATTAGGGATTTAGTTCAGGGGTTTGGTGAAATTTACTCATATTTTGATTTTGGATTTTTCAATAAATATCCCTAAATTATAGTATTTTAAATTGGTTCCAAACATAATACTTACAAATTTATCCCCAAATTATTTTACCGATCCACGTGTGCAGGCATTGGCGTAACACTTGTACTATTTATATTGATTCAGTATTTTGTTTGGACTATTTTTTTTAATTATCCATACTTGAGAGAGAGAGAGAGAGAGAGAGAGAGAGAGAGAGAGAGAGAGAGAGAGGAGTGTTTGGGGTGGGGGGTTGGGGGGGGAGATTGATTTAAACTCGTTCAAAGTTTCATCCAAAAAGGTAAATTACCAAGGGAAGAACTTATAGTTTTTGTTATGATACTTTCATTTATTACACTAGCTAGTGCTGCTCTCGAGAGAGAGAGAGAGAGAGAGGAGGGTTTGGGGTGGGGGGTTGGGGGGGGAGATTGATTTAAACTCGTTCAAAGTTTCATCCAAAAAGGTAAATTACCAAGGGAAGAACTTATAGTTTTTGTTATGATACTTTCATTTATTACACTAGCTAGTGCTGCTCTCTGCAAGAAGGGCATGGGTCATCCCCACACTGACAATTCCTAAAGAGAGAACAAATCGAGTTACTTAGGGGCTGTTTGGATGCCTTTAGTAAACTAGAGTATTTATGACACAAAATAAAAAGTTGTTATCCACCTCACCAATTCTCATTCGAGTGTTTACATGGTTTGGTTAGGAATCTTTATGAATCCTAAAATAATAATATTACATTGTTTTGATAGTATAATGTAAACTAGAATATTTATGACACAAAATAGAAAGTGGTTATCCACCTCATCACTTTCCACAAGGTTTTGACTTTTTAATTATTTTTTGGACACATTTATGACATTGTGTCAGCTTTCCAACAAAATCACTCCTAATTTTGGTGATTTTGCTTTCGGTGGCACCTCATCAAAAGGTATAAACTTTTCATGTAAAAGAGAATTTAATCAAACAATGTAAAGTGATGAAATCTGACATTGGGACCCACTTTTTTACACTTTTCATCCTTTTACATGGTAAAAACATACAACCAAAATGCCACTTAAGCATATTGAATTTCCAATTTGTTTTCATCCTTTTACATGGTAAAAACATACAACCAAAATGCCACTTAAGCATATTGAATTTCCAATTTGACCGTCGAGCCGACAATATCAAAGTGCGGTATTTTCTTGAAATTTTTTTATGAGAAATCAGAGATGACCCACTTGCATCCGACAATATCAAAGTGCGGTATTTTCTTGAAATTTTTTTATGAGAAATCAGAGATGACCCACTTGCATCTGTTGCAGTACAAAAATAGTTTGGAATTTTGAGTTTGGTTTTCACTACCCCTCTTCATTACTTCTAAATTAAAACCTACTAATCATGACTAATCACCAGCAAAACATTTTAAAAAAAATCTTTCCAATATATAATGGCAAAAAAAAACAAATAAAAAAGACATCATTTTGTTCCTATATATAACGGCCCAGTACCTGAGTACATACAACATGAATCCGAAGTTGAATATCGAACCCTGGGCATGGAGTAATATATGTATGCACTTATTTTATGACACGAAGATTCAAAGTCTCAGGAAAACATTAAAGCTACGGAAGAATTCATTATTTTCATTATGATATAAATATATATATCCTCCCTCTCATAGGTTACATGCATGATAGCAAAAACTTGATTGATAATGAACAATTTAATTACCCTGGGCATGGAGGGCAAGTGGCCCCCCCGCTGCAATCATGGGACATGTAGCATTTAGCATGTTGGGTTATACATATTGAATTCCCGAATCGACCGTCCCCCATGCCGCAGGAAACTCTGGGCAGGCAGCAAGGAATCGTGAGTTTGCTGCCATTTTTGAAGTCCATCAATGAGGAATTCAAGCTTGGTGATGCCTCGTTGTTCTTCAACTCAATATCACGACCTGTCAAGAACATAAACTGTTAAAAAAAACTTTATGAAATAATTTGAGGGAGGAAGTCTGATGAATTCGAGGGCTTGTTGTCCAAACATCAAGTTCTAGAGGCTTCTGTGCTAAATATGAGATTTGGGCTGGGGTCCAATATCCCAACACCCAACTATTTAATGCCAAAGAGTTATGTTACAAATGTCAAAGAAATGGGGGGGAAAAAACTTTTAATTCGTTAAAAAGCAGCAAAGAAATAGGTGAAGTGAGGAAATAGGTGAGTTGAGGAAGGGTTGAGCCTTTGTGCTCCAAACTAACTCTCTCGTTCTTCTCCATACATAAAAAAAAGTCAATTTTTTTTTTAAAAGTTTCCTTTTTCAAAGAATTGCGAACAGCGTGGTTTTCTCCAAATAACTTTAAAATTTGCATGCTATATTTGCGAGACTGAGTAAATTCGACCGCGAGAGTAAATCGGGCTCACCTTGATTAAGGGCACATAGGCTTGCAAGAACTATGAAAAGAAGAGCCAAGCATGTCTTCTTCATTTTGGTTACTGGGCATTGCATCAGAGCAGACCACCTAACCTTTTTATAGCCGTCGACACTAACGCCTACTGGATATTAGCAATAATGTACTGAATAATCATTTGAGATCTTTCTAGGATCATGTTTTCTGCTTGCACTTAATCTATATTTTAGATTCAATTGATTTAGACAATATAAGGTCAATAGTCACTATTACAAAAGTAATATATGTATGCACTTATTTTATGACATAGGTAAATGTGTCATTTTATTTACAAAGGATTAAACAATAATGACACAAATAAAAAGTATAGCAAATCACGACACATGTTTGTGTCATTAGATATACAATTAAATATAATTAAAAAAGACTAAATAGTCCAACACGGATTGTGAGAGGATCTATTAATATGCTTAAATAATAAATCTTAGATTTTACTTATGATGATGATTAAACATTTATGATTGTGTATAAGCTAAAAAAAACTCCACAGTGAAGTGTGCTTTGGTGAGAGTAATAATTCTAAAATGGGTGACCTTCTAGGGAATAATAGTATTGACAGTGAAGTGTGCTTTGGTGAGAGTAATAATTCTAAAATGGGTGACCTTCTAGGGAATAATAGTATTGAATAATGACGCTCTTTATATTTTTATGATCTAGACAGAAGTATGCGTCACAACTCTTCACATATTTATGTGTCACAAGTTTTACGACATATGTATACGTCACCACTCTTGACATATATGTGATGTGAGATTTGTGACACATTTTCACATGTGTAGAAAGACGCTCTCCACACATGCTTTAACCACACTTCTAATATGTATCGCGTTTTATTTGTGCGATACATAAATGTGTCGCATAGAGATCAAAAATATATCATAATTTATAACTTTTGTTATAGTAAGTAATGAATCAAATTTAAAGCGTGCACAACAAAAAATCACAAAAATGTAAAGTGTAGTTTACTTTATATACCTAAAAGGACAATCGAACAATAGTAACGGCTAAATGAATAATCATTGATCACTTACTATCTTTTTTTGAGTATACCGTGGATGATTCACTCAATCTACATATCAGATTCAGTCAGTTTGACCTTGACTAGTAAATATATGATGATATGCAACAAAATTAACTAGAATAAAAGGTTTCTCTACAAACTTTTAGAAGATTTTATAAAATATAACGTTGAACGGTTGAACGCATGTCGCTTAAATTCTAAACTAATCTAGCCCTTTTCTCTTCCTCTATAATATCAATTATCTCATTTGCACACAAAAAAATAAAAAAAATACACGCGTTCTTATCAGAGCCCAATTTTGCCACACCGACTTTAGTATGCCAACCTTTGTTATTTTACGCTTTATTATTTTACAATTCGCTTTCTTTGGGCCAGGCCGCCTTTAGTGTTTTAGTTAAGTTAATTTTACCTCGGCCACACATTTTATGGAGTTTCAAAAACAAAAATAATCATTGAAGTTTTCAGCTAACAAACATGGAGGCTTTGCCACATTGAGTTAATCGGCCCGGCTTCTATTAGATTTTACTTGTTTTTGATTTGGGCCGGTCG